AACAGAGCTATAGGTAGACACATGGAGTAAAGAAGTAGTTCCGATAAACCGCTCTCTAGGTTCTATACTAGCTGCAGTATGCAGGGTTCGCATATGCTCTAGGTACCACGTAAAGTACAGAGAAATAAAAAATTGCATCCTTACTTCCATTTGGAAGAAGAAAAAGGTTCTATAAGTATTCTTAGAGCTTTATACTTTAATAAATAATGATTTTGCAAATTATACCTGTAGTAAGAACCACAAAACTGTGGAATAGGGAAACGAAATAAGATCAATTCAAGAGTATTAGATCTTACAATTAGCAAAAAGTTTTACTATAGTAGCTTAAACATATCGCTAGACTGGGACCAAGAAACTACATTTCTGAAAACCACCTCTGAATAACTATAAAACTATACTCATGCTAAAAGTCTTGTATTGCACCTGGTTTTTGGCAAACCCTGTCAATCATAAAATGCGATATCCAGAGAAAAGAGTATTAGTATTAAATTGTAAACTTTTATTTTGTTTATTGTAATTTTGCTTTAGACAAATATAAATGATGAATATATTGAACATCTCTTTTTAAGTGAAAAGTACACTGCACAATGGCAATGTTTCATTTTCTTTGGACTATATTTTTCATTAGAACTTCAGCAAAATTCTGTAAAATGATGTGCATATTAACTGCGTCTATTTCAACTGTGCTGTAATATGTAACATGATTGCCTAAATCATGTGATATAGATAACGAAGTTGAAATTGTAATTACGTCTATTAACTTTAACTTGTAACATATAAACCTCAAATACATTAGTTGATACAGAAACCTCGCTTCGATTACAGTGTTTAGAGTAATTTGGCGTTGTCGAAACATACCAATTGAGATCATTGCCTTGAGTTTGGGCTTGATCGATTGATTGCTATTGTTCGTATGACATAGCTAACAAGATCGCGCCCAGTGGTAGTGGCGTTGATATAGTGCACGGGATTGTAGCAAAGAGAATAAAATATATATATTAGAGTGCTAGAAAAAAATATAAAACGGCCATTTTGTTGTACTGGTTCCATACTGCAGGTGTACTTCACATTTTTGTGCTATATAACCTTTTGGGCCCTGGAACATCATTTTATAGAAAATCTAAAATTATTGTTAAAAGAAAACCAAATTATGAAATAGGCTGGTTTCATAATTGACCAATGATCATTTCACATAGACTCTATGCCTTCCACTTTACAAACGATGATTTTCCGTTATAACTATAAATCAAATGATGTTTTTNCTCTGGTTGCAAGTAGCTAGAGTAGTTGAACTAGCTGTAGCTTGGAAGAATCTCTGTTACTCTGGTTGCGAGTAGCTAGAGTAGTTGTACTAGCTGTAGCTCGGAAGAGTCTCTGATACTCTGGTTGCAAGTATCTGGAGTAGATGATGAAAATGAGGCTGTCCAACCTCTGGTTGTCCTTGTAAGATATATCATACTGAGAACTGTCAATAAAGTACAAATCCCCAGGCATTGAATGGGATAAACGGGAGCTAAGGCTCAAGCGTCTATCCTGTATAAGATCCTGGAGTGTACTGATCCTATTCTCCATGTTCTCTAATATCTTAGAGTTATACAAAGGGGTGAGGGTTTTTGCATTGGGTCATTCTTCTAAATATTACACCATGCTTTAAATACTACAATGATAATGATGATAATGATGACAGTGATGAAAATGATGAAAATGATGAAAATGATGAAAATGATAAAAATGACGAAAATTATGAAAATTATGAAGATTATGAAAATGATGAAAATGATGAAAAGCATGAAAAAGATGAAAATGATGAAAATGATGAAAATGATGAAAACTGACAATTTCTTTTGAAAACATTCAATTCTGTTTCGAGGAATTTTGAAAATGAAGAAGACATTTTCATATTTCCCAGGAATGTTTAAAAATGCAGTTTAAATTATTAAACAACGAAGACAAAAAATGTAAACAAAATTCTGGAAACGTATCCACCCAAAAGTACGATTTTGAACGTCAACTTTACGCTCAAACTCAGGATTTACAGATCTTTAAAAAGCTTTATATGTCTCGAATGAATCCTAAAGAATTTGTCCACAACACTGCAAACTCAGTCAAACTACCTTACATAGCCGGTCTGTCCCTTTAAGTTTAACTATACTTGAACATTTACATAAAAATTTAGCCTGAACTTAAATAATGAAGACAATAAAATCTAAAAAATCATATTGGATAATGCCAACATTGCTATGTATGGTTCTAGAATTTTTAGAATGTGTTTCATATCTTTAAAATGGACGGAGATATTAGTAAAAAGAAACTAGTTAATTCTTCTTGGCGCTACGACATCTGCTCTATTTCCATTTGCTCTATGGCCATTTGCTCTATGGCCATTTGCTCTAGTTCCATTTGATCTATCAAGTCATTTGCTCTATACGTCATTTGCTCTATATTCAATCTGCTCTATACCTCATTTGCTCTATGACTAAACACGTCATTTGCTCTATAACCTAAAAATACACTATAAATTAGCGTTTATTGGAATTCCTAAGCGTAACTTGACTATGAAATGCGGGATTTTTTTTTGGAAAATTCGCAAATTGCAGTTTTTATCAGTTCTTCAAAGTCCATCATGACAGCGAGACTGCTCAATAATAAGAGGGGTAAAAAAAACCTAATATGTGGTGAAAACTATATTTATTCTACTCTAAACAAACAGGGTGTCTATCAGAACTGGAGATGTCTTGAATATAGAAGGCAGAATTGTTCTGCCGTGGTTAAAACCTTCATAATAATAGAATAAAATCTCCAGGAAGTTGGCGGAAAAATGAAACTGTAGGAAGAATTGTAAAATGTAAAATTGTAAAAATATGTTTATAGAGCAAATGACGTGCTTACTCATAGAGCAAATGTTGAGTAAAGCAATTAAACCATCACAGTCTTAACAATGTTTATAGAGCAAATGACGTGTTATGTCATAGATCAATTGACGTATAGAGCAGATGAAATATAGAGCAAACGTCGTGATCTATGAGCTATAGAGCAAATGGTTAGTAGTGCAAATGGCCATAGAGCAAATGACCATAGAGCAAATGGAAATAGAGCAGATGTCGTAGCGCCTTCTTCTTAACAACCTGATGTAGTATATCTTTGATATATTTCAATCTATTAATTTTGTTATATCAAATAGTCAAAGTTTGAAAAACAAAAGGTTTATATTATCAAGGTGCTGCACATACTATATAAGAGTTTGGGGCAATTTCAGATTCTTTTGTCAAAAAGATAAAAATGGTTAATTATCTGAAATCTCTGTCGATTTGAAAGTGTAGATCTTTATATTGCCCATGCCTTTTATTATCTTTTAACTATGTGATGTCATTTTAATCAAACATAATCAAGTCATAATTTATAATATCAAATAAAATATTATCTAATTTACAACATATTCAACATCATATATTAATAACATTAACATTATGTTGACAAGGGACAAACAGTTTAGCCATAGAGAATAGAATATATATTAGAGAGGAATTAAAAGAATCTCTCGGTATGAATTTTTTCAGTCCCTTTCAGTCTGAAAGGGAGTTCAAAGTGTACAAATCATGTAAAAGTTCACAAATTATGTGCAGTAGAGTACATTAATACAGTATGTTCCCTAGACAATTCATTTCAATTTCGAATTTTTTAAACTGTTTAATAAACTTTATAATGACATCTGCGATATGCATGTCTCGTGAGATATTGTAGCAAAATAATGTTTATGCAACAAAATGGTGCAACAAAAATGTGTTCGGAAAGCTTAATAAATTTTGGAAAATTGCATTTCATAATTATGACAACGCCCAAAAACTAACTCAGGAGGAACCAAGCTTTGCCTAAAAACTAAAAAGTCAACAAACTTAAATTATCTGTGGTTCTACCAAGTTTTCCAAATTTAAATTTGAGGCCCGGTCAAGATGTTTGGTCATGAGTACAGAGTAATAATAATAAATCATAGAAACAAATGCAGACATAGGACCGTAACTGGGTGTTTGGGGGGGGGGGGGGGCAAAACCCCACTGCATAGAAAATTGTAATTAAAATTGGCCAATTTATCTCGATGTACTTATTTATGTACTTTTTTTTTTACTGAGGCCCATGCCAGATTCAGCAGGGTACCCTTTAAATATTTTTCTGATCAATAATTTGGAAGCTTTTGAGTATACCGTAATAATAACAGAACTTATGAAAATGATGAAAATGATGAAAATGATGAAAATGATAATATGGGAACCAAAATATGTCGATATGGGAACCAAAATATGTCGATATGGTTACCAAAATATGTCGATATGGGAACCAAAATATGTCGATATGGGCACCAAAATATGTCGATATGGGAACCAAAATATGTCGATATGGGAACCAAAAAGTCCATCTTAAAACAATGAATTCAAAAATGTTAGTCATCAAAATCGGTTGAAAATTGAATAATCTATAGGCGAAAAATTGGTTTTAGCGAAAATATGCCAGAGTCCATAAATACTATTTTTATGCCCTTATTGATAAACCAATTTTAACAACCATCAACTGGGCAATATTCACAAGTTTGAGGCGCAACTTTTAAAAATCCAAAAAAAAATCGGTAGTGTTTTTTGTAGGTTTAGTTGAACAATTTTTTTTGCTTTTTTGAAAAAAAAAATCATGTTGTCACAGGGTTAATAGAATGCAGATTTCTCAAATAATGGGACACCGATATCCACGGAAGTTATTTCTGTATATTTGTAAACAAATAAAAGATAGAAAGAAGATTCTTTTGAAAAAGAATTTCCAGAATATTCTCTAAGACTGGCTTGGGAACCAAGGTTACTCGACCGCCGTTTACCCGCACTTGAACGATTTACCGGGAAACTGAATCTTCGCCATTGAAGTCGATTCACTCAATTTAGAAGCTAAGAACATTCCCGTGGATCTCCCAAGTTCCCCAATCAAAACTTGAGGCAAATCGGTCCAGGGGTTCCTGAGTTATGATCGGAAAAACAAACAGACAGACAAATAGAGATTACAACTTTATATATATAACTACTGTATTTGTAATGATGAAGATTGAAAACAAGGAGAGCTGCGACATCCAGATAACACCACTAGTTTTGTTTAGGATTTTTTTTAGATTAACATTTATCCCATAATTAAGATTTTTTTCTTACTTGCTGAATTATCAAATCTGATCTCTCTTACTTTAGCTAACCATACAAAATGAAAACATTTAAGTAATATACACTTTAACAACAATAAAGCTTTGCATCATAGAAATCGGTAGAATGTTTAGAAACACTAATTTATATTATTTTTCTATAATCATTTTGTTTATAAACTTAATATAATAGAGATGCATATACTGTACATTTTTTGGAAAACATCTTTTAATTAGAGATTTTAAACAATTACTGCAATTTACAATTTGCTATTTCCAAAAATTGGATTTCATGATACACGAGACATAACATCTCTCTAACAAAATCTTTGAATTCTGTATACACAACTCGTAGACAAAACTTCAATATTCGTATTTTATCCCAAGAGACAGACACTTAACAAAAAAAATCCCGACTACAGTAGTTGATTACGACATTGTGTTGTGACTTTAGGAACAATTAACAATCAAATAGTAAAATAAGGTGGTAGTTGATTATATCATCAAAATGAAGAGGACTTTGATATTAATTTAGATTTATATGTAGCTTTTAAACAGAATGGATGCACAAAAACATGGATTCAAAAAGAAGCTGTCAATTAAAAAAAGCTTCTCTTTATTTACTTGTAAACTTGCAATTCGTAAAAAGCTTTTTGGCAATTAAAACTTATATCAAAAAGTTGTCTTCAGTTTATTGATAAAATAGCCTACTACCGTAGGATGAGCGAAAAATGAGATAAAATCAAAGCTCGTCTTTCTGCTCGCATGTACACTTCCAACCAACACATTTTCCAGAACCAAGACCTTGCGCCTTGCAGTTCAGATAACACGTGGTCTCTGCTGCGCACAGCGCAAACTCTTTGGGAGTCAGGTAGTCGTCAGAGCATGTGCAGTCTTTCTTTCCACTCTCCAGAGTAGTACAGGTTCCATTTCGTCGACCGATAGCGTTGCAGGTTCCCTCGCAAAACTTGTCGCCTAGATCGCATCTAAACACAAATTGATATGATTCGATTTTTTTAATAAAAAATCAAAACCACAAAAACTTTCTTGTACAGAATGCAACAAGCATTGTTTCAACATTTTATTTACCTGGACTTGAGCTAGGGTTTACTTGACTTAGAGTGCTGATGACCAGTCTTATTTGATTGTTTACCTGCAGGTCGGAGATCCTTATTGAAATGCCAGTCCTAACTATTTACCTCGATGTTAAGAAAACCTTGTACGTCCTGAAAGACCAGCCCACTTACAAGGACCTTTTCCCGTTAAGGTAAATATTTAGGGCTGGTGTTTCAGGACTTACAAGGATCTCTTACCATCCAGGTAAATATTTAGGGCGGGCCTTTCAGGACGTACAAGGATCTCATACCAATCAGGTAAATATTTAGGGCTGGTTACCTGGATGGTAAGAGAGATCATTGTGTTCTCAAAGACCAGCCCATATAAGTCTTCTAAAATATTTACCTGGATGGAAGAAGATCCTTGAATTCCTGAATACCAATGGATTTCTCACTACAATGACAGTTTCCGTCTCCATCACAAATTCCAGAGGTTTTACCCAGGAGAACACACCCTTAATAAAAAAATGCAAATTGTGAAATGTGATTCATTTCTGAACTTGGATTGGGGAGCATTTTCAGTTAGAAGAAATCTTACTGGTGTGCTTAACCCAACCAAAAAGACTAAAAGATCATTTGCAGTGAAAACGAGAATAACTAAGAATATATTGGATTCAATTAGAGCTCACAAACTTAATAAAATGCATCGAGTCTCTGCAACAAACTCAAATTTTCTAATCCATATATCTTTGAACCTGATGGTGTAAATCATTGATTTTTAAAACTTAGATAATTTGATTTATCAGAATTTATAGTTTTAAAGATCTAAGGTCTTCGGCATTGGGTTGTCAAGATATATGGATTAGATAATCAGAGTTGTGGCAAAAACTCAATTCCTTTAATCTATTAAATCTATTAAATCTATTAAATCTATTAAATCTATTAAAACTTTAGAATTGAAGAATAGAATGAAAGAAATAGCCAAAAGGTTTTTTCATGGTATGTTTAACATAACAAACTTTTATGATACATTTGTTTAAGAATTATTTTTCAGATGGATACAGTAGGACTACAAAACATTGGAATAGGAAGACTACATTTAGGCTCAAGTCATTAATTTAAATATTCGAATGAACATTAAGCACATCAATTGTGCAGTGTTCACAGACCCATAATTGCTGGGGTTCAAGTTCAAGCTTATACAATGAGAAAAGGGAATATGAGGAACAGAAACACAAAAGAATATGAGTCTTTGTCACAAACTCTGTTTTCCTAATCCAAAATATCTTTGCAACCCTATGTCATAGATATTTGATATTTTAAACAACGAATTCTGTTAGATCAAATAATCTAAGTTTAAAATATCAAGTTTACACAATCAGGTTACAAAGATATTGGAATTAGAAATTTTGAGATTATTTCAGCTAGTTTAATTGGGAAACATTGCGTGTGCTAGAAAAAAAAGTAACAAGTCAACCTTTATTAATTTTTTTCGTTTCAGTCACCTCTTTTTGTGCGTTCAAAGTTTTTAACTTTTTTACCTCTATTAAAAGTTGAATTTACAATATGGTAATTTTCAAATATTTAACGAGGAATTTTTAATGTTATTATGCTAGGTTTAGTTTATTAAAACCGACCCCATAGGAAATTAAAATGTAAATTATTGTCTAAAAATTACTTGTTCTGATAATTTTTTAATCTAAAAAAACCTTTACTCTTAGGTCATAAATTTGTTTACATTTTTAGATTAGGGATAGTAAAAGAGACATATTTTTGACAAAATATCCCAACCCCTCATTTATTGTCATCTCTCGATAGAGGATACACTGTATCATTTAAAATGTCATGGTGCAGGGTAACCCACAAAGGTTGAGACTTCAGAGACGATTGTACGGAATTTATTCCCTCTTTTACTAACATTTCTGGCTCCCTGCAAGCTGCAGTAGACTCGTTTCTTTGTTTAAATCTTTAAAATTGCCATGTAAGAACTGCAGTCATGAAGAAATGCAAATTTAACCTTTAAATTGTTAAATCTAAAAAATTTAAGTCTTTTCCTTTGTGGGTAACCTTGTACAGTATATGGTACAAACCTACTGTACATCAGTATATGGTACATACCTACTGTACATCCTACGTCGCCCAAGGCACATCTAAGTCCTGCTTCAGAATGTACAACCATTGTAAAGCTCAACAATGATAATATTAAAAAATTCATTGTAAAATGATGCTCGCTTGATTCAGGTAAATTATAAACTAATATATGTATCACATGAACTTATCTATATATAGTGGTCATTTAATACGCGTAGAACTTATAGAATTTCTTAGAATACTTCACCCCCTCCCTTCCCCCTCGCCCCCGGCCATAGAGCAAATGACCATAGAGCAAATGGAAATAGAGCAGATGTCGTAGCGCCTTCTTCTTAACAACCTGATGTAGTATATCTTTGATATATAATTTATATAGATTTTACGTGTTAGACTTAGACTAGTTATATGAAGAGGCCCCACTTCTATAAACGCCAACTATGCAGTAGAAATTGTTATCAAAAGTAAAAACCAAAACTTCCCATCTACAGTGTAACCCACAAAATATCACAGTTTTAAGGGGACTGTGAGTGTATATTTAAGTGACGCATGGCAATACCCGTTTCACAACGGTTTTGAATTCTTTAATTATTTGATCAACAATGTAGAAGATGTTGTTGTTTTTATAAGTTTAAAAGCGTTTCCCCATTGTAGAGAAACAATTTAAAATAATATATTTTCAATCATAAACATTGTCCAATTGATACAAAATTGAATATAGCATGCTGGCAAACCATTTATAAAATGTAAAAGATATTAACACTTAATACTTGCATTTATTAAAACGTGTTATGTAAAAAATATCTGTTCTCTGTTTTAAAGGTTTAAATTTTCTATCCTATATCTTTGCAACCCAATTTGGTAGACCTTAAATATTTCAAGCTTTGAATGATGATAGGATCAAATAATCAAAGTTTGACTTTGTAAGGTTTATACTGCAATATAGGTTTCAAAGATATAGATATGGATTAGAACATTTGAGATTGTGGCAAAGACTCATTTCCCTCATCTTTTTTAATTATTGACCGTCAAGGGCGGTTTCAGTGCAGGGGGGGATGGTACAATTTACATCACATTTAATTGCACATATCCGTTAAATTTAATGTTCCCGAAAATTGTAAACTGGTCTTTTTTTGACAAATCATTTAATATAACAATATAAGACTTTATTCAATCTTATATTGTTGTATTTAAAGAGCTTTAGGTCGTCATTGCAGTCTCATCCTGTGTGGGTAACCCTGCATTGCATCATATATATCCACGTTTCATGACAATTATCTCTCTCTCTCTTCCAAACTTTTTATTGAAACAATATTAAGGTACAGATCTGAGAAAATTGTGTAATAATGATAAAAAAACACACGAATATTCATTTATATATATATATATACAATTATCTATATATCCAGAGAATCCATTCAGATACCTTTATTTTTTACCTACTTCATTTTAAAAACAATATACATTTCTTTAAAAGTTTCCTTTCTCAAACTTGCAAAGTTGTTAAAAAATAAGACGACTTTGAAATATCTATTGCAGGTAGAATTGCTAAGACGACATTTGTAAATTTTATTACATTGATAAAATCAATATGGCGTCTTTGGCTGTGGGATGACGCACCGCTCACAATTTTCAGCTAAAATTAAACTTACAACGCACTTTGTTTTTAACTTGAAATACATGCTTTCTCGGGCTAGAAGATGTTCCTAAGTGTAAAGTATGATGTTATAATATAAAAAGAGTAAAACATGTGGTTTAAATGTTATTTATCCCAGGTATAGCGTGTGCTAGCTGTGTGGAGTGTTGTGAGTAAATGATTGTATTGTGTGATTAGTTGTGAGCGATGTAGGGTGAGGCAGGCCAGGCCAGCTGGGGATACAGAGAAACACTAGTACACCAGCTGGACCTCAGCTGACAATACGACAGGAAAATCCGCGAAACTTTTTAATCGTTATTTTTCGCAGTTTCACAAGTGGCAAAACCACTGATTAAAGCTGGAGGACCAGGACGAGTATTTGGAAAGGTTTGTGTTTTCTATCAGATCAAAACAAGTTTAAATATGGAGAACATCGACATTTATTCAGACCTCTCTCAAGTTGGAGAAGAGGATGAAGTAAAGGAAATAATGTCAAATATCGGAAGGTATCATTAGCCCCGTGTGTCTAGTGACCCCCTCCCACTAACCCCTTACATCCTTCCTTCTTAGTTTTCGTGTTTTTGCGGATTTTTGTTTGAAAACATGAAACATCTGATCTATCAGCTGTAATAATGAGTTGATCAGCTGGTTTATGTTTAGATTGGTTTAAACATGTTTCAGTAAATTAAACATATGTTTTGTAAACCCACCAGCTGTTCACTAATCATTCAAAATAAACTGTAAAATAAACTATTCTTGGATTAAATTCGGCCTCAATTTTGAATTATGAAATTATTTTGAAATGGAAGACGACATTAAGATTTAATACACTGTAGCTGTAATAGACATTAACATTGTTTGAAATCTAATATTATAGAAATAAAAAAATAATGTAAAATGAGTTTATGACCATGTTAAGACATTTTTAAGATATTTTTAATTAAAGAAATGTATGTGTGCCTTAAAAAGTTGATTAATTTTTATCTAGGGGAGGGAGGTATGTTTCCGCAGGAGATATAGAAATAGAAGATGATGGCAAGATGGAGCCTGCCAGTGTAAGTTTTTTTTACAGAAATTTACTTATTCATCATATACATACATCGTATAGTTATAACTGTGAAACTGAGGAATAGGACTCAGATTCTGGTTATAAATGTTCTGTCCTAGAGAACACTTTTGGGTCCGTCTTAAAATACGATTTTTTATTATTTTAAGTTAGGTTAGGCTAAGACAATTTCTAGTGCAGCAAGGCCTAGAATTTGGTAATTACCAACTGTCTTAACCTAAAATAAAAAAAATATAAAAAATAATGATTTTGCTGANTTGTTATGTTTGGACAGACCCTAAATTTGACATTTTATTTTTTTTTATTTTCAAAATTTGTAAATTTTATTTTCTTTGTAATATATTGAAATAAATCAAACTTTGATAATTGAAATATTAAAACTCTTTATTTTCTAGGTTGGGTTTCAGGAGAAAAGGATTCGACGTGAGATTGCGAATTCTAACGAGCGGCGACGAATGCAGAGTATCAACGCCGGGTTCTCCAGTCTTAGATCCCTCCTACCCCACCATGAGGTGGTGTGTGGTCTTTTTTTAGTGCTTAGGATCCGCTTCCGTTGGATCCACAAGATTTTGGCTTCCTGGATCCGGATCCGCAAAAATATGCGGATCCGGATCCAAGGGGTAAAATATCAACTAAAAACTCCTAAAACCCTAATCTGATTTTTTGAAAAAAGAGATATTATAATATTTGCTCGTTTCTGAATGGTTCATCAAGTTTTAGGACAAAAATAAGCGAAAAATATAAAACAAAAAATTTGAAAATTATTCTTTGTTTAAAAAATTCAGTAAATCTTAAAGAAATTACCTGAAACCGGATCCATTTTTTTCCAGTGCGGATCTGGATCCGCATCAAAATTAAATGGATCCTAAGCACCGCAGTTTTTTTATTTTAATAATATAGTAATAAAGGAAGTGCAGGTCACCTTCCATTCTTGAAACCTATGCCTGAGTTAAAATAGTAAAATATCCTGTTTTTTTAACATTATTCTTTACTGTGGTTTCTTTATACAAGTGACTTACACATTTTATGTGGTAGAGAAATTAAACGTAATATTTAGTATACAACATTAAGATTGTTGATTAGACGAAGGGATAAATGGATACTGGTGTGAATGTCCCTGTTGTAAAGCTGAGAAAATTCTAAATAATCTTTAATTCTTCAAAAAATAAAAAAAATCGGTGGTGGGGGAAGGGTTGAAATTTACCTTGGGAGACATCGACAAGTTACAAAGTTTTCTTTAAAAAAGACATCATATTAAAGGAAGTGTTCGCGAAAAATGAAAGGGGGTATAGGCTTAATGCGATAAAAAAGACTTTAACAATTTTCTCCTTATAGACGCAACAGATAGAAGTAAGATTACTAGCGATCGAAAGCGCTTTTTTATCGCATTAAGCGAATCCCCCCTTTCATTTTTCGCGAACACTCCCTTCAAGATTCAAAACATTTTAGCAGAATAAATTGAACGGATTGCCTTCCTCTAATTCTAATTTTCTAATCAATATATCTTAGCAACCTTGGACCAATTGTATTAGAAAGCGATAAGTAGTTGGAACTAGACTGAGTTAAACCACTTATTTCCAACTAGAACTTGTTGAAATAAGTCTACGTAGTTCAACCACTTCTACTGTACGCTAAAAAAAAGGTCTACGACATCAGGGTTCAAAGATATAAGGGTTATACAATTAGAAATTGAGACGAGTGGGGGGGGGGGGGTGTTGTTAAATAAAATTTTAAAATTTTCTTTCAAATTGATATTTAAACTAACTTGAATTTTTTAATTAGGGCGAAAAGCTTAGTAAAGCAGCAATTCTGCAGCAAACAGCAGAGTATATATATAGTCTTGAACAGGAGAAAACAAGGTATAAACAGCAGAGTATATATAAATATGTTTTATCTTGTTTTTTTATCTTGTTTTAGAGTAATTTCAGAAGCCGGCCATAATCATTAATTTTTTGTTATGTTTGTTTAATTGTATAATTTTTTCATGTTTGATTGTATTATTTTATCATGTTTCATTGTTTTTTTTTTGTCATGGTTGATTGTTTTTTTTTGTTATGTTTGATTGTATTATTTTATCATCTTTGATTGTATTATTTTGTTACGTTTGATTGTATTATTTTGTTATGTTTGATTGTATCATTTTGTTATGTTTGATTGTATTATTTTGTTATGTTTGATTGTATTGTTTTGGTATGTTTGATTGTATTATTTTGTTATGTTTGATTGTATTATTTTGTTATGTTTGATTGTAATATTTTGTTTTGTTTGATTGTATTATTTTGTTATGTTTGATTGTATTATTTTGTTTTGTTTGATTGTATTATTTTGTTTTGTTTGAATGTATTATTTTGTCATGTTTGATTGTATTATTTTGTTATGTTTGATTGTATTATTTTGTTATGTTTGATTGTATTATTTTGTCATGTTTGATTGTATTATTTTGTCATATTAATTGTATTATTTTGTTATGTTTGATTGTAATGTTTTGTTTGATTGTATTATTTTCTTATGTTTGATTTATTATTTTGTTATGTTTGATTGTATTATTTTGTTATGTTTGATTGTATTATTTTGTTATGTTTGATTGTATTATTTTGTTATGTTTGATTGTATTATTTTGTTATGTTTGATTGTTTTATCCAGGTTGCTGAGTCAGAATTGCCAGCTGAAAAGGCTGCTGGGACAAACCCAGCACATGGTTGAATCTGATGAAACAGATTCAGGTATTATTATTTTATTATTAATTATTAAATCTTGATCCGGATTCGTCCAGAATAAATCCAGATACTGATCGGATCGAGCTTATGCTTCAAATTCTACAAGTTTTATATATGTTACAAGCAAGCTTCACAATGGTAACTTGAACGCTGTACAGTGTACCTTTATCTGAATTAGAATGAGGAAAATATCGTATTTTTTCTTAAATAAAACAAACAAATGAATGTTTTCTATTTAAATTATGTCGACGTTTCCTTTCAAAACATCTTACTTATAGAAGAATTTTATTTCTTTCTGTATTATTTTATTACAGAACTTTTATTTTTATTTGTTAGCGATTTTAACAAGTTTGACATAAAATGAAAATGGACGCTACGAAACTTTTGATAGGTTTTACAAATCAATAATTGACAGTTAGACAGTAAATATTTGTGTTTTGAATGCAAAAATTCAGGTTTTTATGTTTCTTGATATTTTGCGTTTACACTTGAAAATATCCTTTTCTCAAAAATTATTGCCTAGCGTCTTTTTTATGTGAGAAAGAAGTTGTAAAATTAAATAAATTATATTATTTTTTGTTGGAAATTAGATTATTTATTTGTGTTTAAGGACCAGCGCCAAAACGTCGTCTGATTGATACCGGACAGAAATTACTTTTTGACGTAAGTATAATTTCAGAAATGATTTCAATTTTTTTCTCTTTCCAGGGGGGGTCCAGCACCCGTTGGGGTCTAAAAACCCCCTGAAATCAATATATTTCACTGGTCCAGGGGGGGGGCTTAGCCCCCATATCCCGCTCTGAATACGCCTCTGAGTACTCTGATGATCGGTTGAAAAATTTGCACATTAGAAATTGATTTTTACTTTAAATATGTTTATTTTTTGTGGGACGAATCTGATTTATTTTTTATTGTTGGACATTTCTTTAATAGCATACTAATCTATTTTTAGTAAAACTAAATTTTTTAAGTCCGAGTGAAAAATAATTTTCAAATTAATAATTTAATAATATTTTTGGCCCTGCACTGGAGTCTCAAGTTTTGTTAATTTCTCTAATAGCATAATAATTTTTAGTAAAACTGAAGTAAGGCCAAACAACAATTTATTTTCAAATTAATAATTAAAAAATATTTAGGTCCCTGGAGTCTCAAGTTTATCCTACTGGAAGAAAGATACTGGAGAAGTTTACCATTGATGACAGAGTTGAAATCATTGACGGTAAATTCCTAAAAGAATTTTTTTCAAATTTTTTTCAGATTTTTTCAGATTTTTAGTTTGTACAAACATGATTAATAACCCGTTATTCCCCTATTTTCCTATAATAGACTTTTAGGGTGCGTCGCGCCGCCTTTTCTAAACACATTTTTCCTGGCAAAATTGCTAGTCAATAAACTTTCCCTGGGGTCATGTGAGTTGCTACAAAAATTTAGTCCGATCGATTCAATCGTTTTGACGTTTATTTGACACAAAAAGACAGACAAGCAAAGTATTACTTATATTCCGCGACCAATTTGGCCTTGAAAAAAAACTTTTCCAGCGTTGATAACAGATTATAGTCAGATCGCGACCTTAAACTGTTTTTAAATAGTCATGGATAAAACTCTTTTTGTTTAAAAACTGATTAGATTTTCTGATTTTTAATTGTGAATTGTTAAGGTACTGAGTACCAGACAGTGTTGTCTTGTTAAGGTACTGAGTACCAGACAGTGTTGTCTTGTTAAGGTACTGAGTACCAGACTATTCTAACCCCTGGTCTTGTTAAGGTACTGAGTACCAGACTATTCCAACCCTTGGTCTTGTTAAGGTACTGAGTACCAGACTATTCCAACCCTTGGTCTTGTTAAGGTACCGAGTACCAGACTATTCTAACCCCTGGTCTTGTTAAGGTACTGAGTACCAGACTATTCTAACCCCTGGTCTTGTTAAGGTACTGAGTACCAGACTATTCTAACCCCTGGAGCTAAGAAGCAGGGAGGAATGGAAACCCTGGTTCTACAGGCAGGAGATAGATTACCAAGTATCATACAGGTACTGAGACAGAGGTTTATATTTTCTAGAAAATCCTTTTTTTTAGGTATATATGCGATAATTTTTAGGGTTTATTTGCTGAATTGGTGAAAATTAATGATTTTTAGGGCAACTTAATGAATTTTTGGGTAAAAGGTATCAAAAAGAATGAAAAGAGTTTCCTTTAGATGTTCAATTTTTCATTTTTGTGTCCGAAATCATTGTAAATTATTTCCCTTAAAAACTCTGAATAATATACACCCCTGTACTGAAAGCTTTATTGTCTCAAGGGATGAAAAAGCATCAAAATGATAACAGAAGTTCTTCCTAAAAATTCTTAATAAAAAAATGTATATCTAGAGCATTGATTGAATTAGTTTTCAATATTGCTCTAATCCTTCACAATTTCACCTCAATGCTTTTATCTAGAACTTTTTTTACCCATGATTTGGATAATTTTGGATAAACATATAGAAAAATCTAATTTATATTGTTGTTTTAGTGTGCCATGAAGGATGTAAATAAGGTTGAAGTTGAACATCTTCCTCGCCTTACAGAAACCCCTAACCCTCTCAAAATAAAATTCGCATAGACAAGTCCACCACCCCTTCCTTTAAAGCTTAATTTTTCTTGGCAACCTTTTAGAAAATATTACACGTTGCAAACAACTCCTTTTTAAAGTGTGGAATAATTATAGATCAATAGAAAACATAACATTTCATCCAATTGTTTGTTTTTGAAATGTTTAACACTGTTTTTTTTGCTTTGAAGGATGGAACCCAAGCTGTAGAGATCGCCAATGTACAGGATCCTGTCACTGGAGCTACCAGGTATGTACACTACACTGTACACTGTACAGTTCACTGTTTTCTGTTTTCTACATTTAAGGCAGTATAATTTTAGGTTAAGCTGTTTATTTTCTTGTATTCAGATTCTAGGCATTAAGTAGTATATTTTCTATATTTTAGGCAGTATATTTTTATGTTAAGCTGTTTATTTTCTTGTATTCATATTCTAGGCATTAAGCAGTATATTTTTCTATATTTTAGGCAGTATATTTTGACCCAGATGGGAGATAACACTTCGAAACAGAATCTTGAAACTATTGTGGAGGCAATTCGACATTTGGAGGGAGATCATTTATTTTCGGAGGAATCCGGCCCACATCAGGTGAGATGATGTTCTTATTATTCAGAGGTCAAAGTTTTTAAAGGACGAAGATTAATTTATCTCTGGGGGTATATATTCGGATTAAACGATTTTCGCAGATTTGGGGGGGAAATCAAAAGTTGCTTCTTTTTCTTGAACAATCATTTATTTATTTATTACAGCGGGGAAAAGAGCTTTAAAAGTGTGTCTCTCCGCGCAAACAGTTAAAATAAACTTTGGAAGAAAAAAACGTTTTTTACATGAAAAAGGGAGTAAATGGGATTGTTTAAATAAAAATACATACTCCTGTCTCCCCGCGAGAAAAAAAATGTATTCCTGGGCCAAAATTAATAGGGAGAAGTAGATTCAATTTAACCCATTCTCTTGAAGTGGTTCAACCTAGTCTGCGTAGTTTAATTATTTCTTACTTTTCATTAATTTGTTGTCTTTGTTCATTTAAAAATCACAAGCTCAGAAATGTGTTACTATTTTGAAGAAATTCTTACAATTTTTGGGAAAAAGTTATTTTTTTCTAATATGTGTGATTTAAAAAAAATCAAAGTTTAGTTTCGGTAACTTTTAACATTGTCAAGAAGAAAGATTTAATCAAAGCTTAATAAAAAGTTTTAAAATTTTAATTTTTGCTTTAACACATGAAAAATGTCAAATTTGTTACAAATGGTAGGTTTAGTAAGATAGATAGGTAGTTAGATAGAAAGCTATTATTTTAAGTATGTTGAGAGATATGAACCCTGTTTCTCAGAGGAAACTGGGCCACACCAGGTACCACACATGGGTAGGGGTCTTGCCGGGTTAAATAAACTTTATTTCCTTATTAATTTGTTTACATATCCCTTTCTTGAAAAAAATCCCTCCTTTTAAATAAATGTATTTGTATATTAATAGATAACAATTTCGTCACTAATTTTATATTAATTGGAATTTTTTGATAATATACATTTTTTGACCATAATGTATGTCGTACAAATTTTCCCTCTGACAATAATGAATACAGTAGATAGATATTATAAGAATAGGATTTAACATGTGTTGACAGTTAGTTTGTATAAGACTAGGTCAGTGAATTATTGAAAAAAATTGGTTTAAAAAAATGAAAAATCGCAGATAATTTGTTTTCTTAATATTTTTAATGCTTGTTAAGGACCGGGGAAGGCCTTTAATTTTGAATTTTTCCCTAAGCTTTTAAATAACTATTTATAACACTGTTATTTTGGTTCGCAGTGTTAAACAGTTTTTGGACAGAAATTTTTCCTTAATCGAAAAGCTGAAGGTTCAAGCCTTTTTAGATTTAATTTTCCCTAGCTTTAGAGAGCCAAATAAATAGTGTTATAAGTAATTTTATGAAACGTTTGTGTACTTTTTTTATTTCAATGGCTATTGATCAAATAAGCTTTGAAACAAAACAGAAATCAAAATATAAAGTTGAAATAAAATTTTTTGGTGCTATAATTTACTAGCAAGATGATTACTTTATAGCGCGTTCATTATGAAATTCCAGGGTGGCCAAAATGTACGGATTGTACGGATTGATTTTTTTTAAACCCTAAAATTGTACGGATTGTACGGATTTTACGGATTTGTTTTCAAATTGTACGGATTGTACGGATTTTATCCTGGAAAATACACCGTTTTTTTTAAATTTTCACTCATTTCAGCTAGGTTCAATGATTGATT